AATATAAACCATTAGGAAATTAATAACCATGTGTGTAAAACACTTTATCCATGTCCAAGTATACCTATAGGTTACATTCCTTCTGGGTCAGAGGTTATGTTCATTTGTAATTTTGAAAGTGCCGGTTCGCCCTCCATTTATATGGAGTGAGCTAGGTTATTCTGGACAATGGGATATTTTACATCATATGGGCTTTAGGGATGCACCTAAGTATGCATTTGGAAAGTTGAAAGGTGAGCACTGAGAGATGGAAAAAGGATTTTAAAAAATGAAGGTAGTAAAGGGTAAAAAAAGAAATGTGCTTGGTTGGCCATTTTAATATGTTTTTTATTGATTTTTAGAGAGAGAGGAAGGGAGAGGGATAGAGAGAAACATCGGTGAGAGAGAAACATCAATCAGCTGCCTCCTGCACACCCCCTTCTGGGGGTCACACCGCAACCTGGGCATTCACCTGACCAGAATCAAACCACGATCTCTTGGTTCCTGGGTCCATGCTCAACCACTGACCCACACCAGCCAGGCTTGCTTGGCCATTTTATAAAGGACCCTGGTGGTAGCAACAACTGACATACTAAAGAGATATTTCTTGAATGTTTATTCAAGAAACACATACTGGCCCAGTTGGCATGGCTTAGTGGTTGAGCATCGACCTATGAACCAGAAGGTTATGGTTCGATTCCCAGTGGGGGCATATGCCTGGGTTGCGGGCTCAATCCCCAGTGTGGGATTCGATTCCCAGTGGGGGCATATGCCTGGGTTGCGGGCTCAATCCCCAGTGTGGGGTGTGCAAGAAGCAGCTGATCAATGAAAATATATTAAAAGAAAGAAAGAAAGAAAGAAAGAAAGAAAGAAAGAAAGAAAGAAAGAAAGAAAGAAAGAAAGAAAGAAACATACTGGATCTCCTGGCATGCCAAGGCCTAGGGATACAGAAATGCATAAAGCATTAATCCAGTCCCCAACTGAAGTTCACAATTTAATGGAGGAACTAGATAAACAATTAGACAATGAGGTGCTTTGCTGTAATTGTTGTGCCTTGAAGATGTTAAGTTGAATTTGTCAAAACATGAAAACATGGATGGTTTAATATTTGATGTAATTTGTAAAACAATAGAATCCTACCATTTAAAGGATTGTAGAGTTTTAAACCAACCTTTCATTTAGTGCAAGACATCCTTACTTCATGAACTCTCACTTATTGGTCATTAAGCTTCTGCTTAAATATCTCTAACGACAGATAAGTCATAACCTTCTGAGGCAGCCATTTCCATTTTGTAGGGAGGAGCTGTAGTTAGGAAATGATTTTTTCTGAAACAAAATTTACCACATCCTGACCTCATGGTCTGATTTAGTATATATAGCAGTGGTTCCCAAACTTATTTGGCCTACTGCCCCCTTTCCAGAAAAAATATTACTCAGCGCCCCCTGGAAATTAATTTTTTAAAAATTTTAATAGCAAACAGAAAGATATATGTATTAATGTTTCTACCTTTTTCGTAAAATATAGTAAAGAAAGATGTAAATTAGAAACATTAAAGTTTGAAATTATGAAACTATTTATTGAACTCAGAATAGAAAGGTAATACAAAAAAAGTTAAAACAAATGCACCTGTGGCCATCACCGCCCCCCTGGATCGCTGCAGCGCCCACCAGGGGGCAGTAGCGCCCACTTTGGGAATCACTGATATATAGGGTTAAGATAATTAACTCAGTTACAACATCTATAAAATGAGGTGATTGTATCCACTGCTAAGAGACCTTTCAGATTAGCCTTGGTTGAGTTAATTCTTTGAATCTCTAACTCATATTTACATGGCAGATTGATATTCAAACAACAGTTACTGATTACTTATTATATTGGACATTTGTGAGATTTTGTGCCCAGTTCTCCCTCTGTTTCCCCCATCACCATGGCTACAATTAACAGTAAATACTGCTGACTTTTTAAAAAATCTGTTGTTAAACAGATTCCCCAAATCTGCTAAGCAAATCTTTATCCTGTACTTGTGTAGTTTATTTGATACTGAACCTAAATGAAGGCCTTTGTATTAATTGCCCCTATTAAATCTCATCTTGCCATTTAGGCAGCCTATTCTTAGTGTGCTTTGCTCTGATAACAGTCAACATTCTATCAGTTAATTCATGGAGCTTAGGAGACTAGAAAATGCAGGTATTGTGGAAAAAGAAGTGATTGAGAATTTAGGAGTGTCCCCTGTTCTTCCAAGATGGAAGTGTGTGTTGAATTAAATAATGCTTCTTAAGTGACTCAAAGGTAGCAGACGTAAATGAAATTTTTCTGGAGTAATGTCTGGATAAACCATACTTTTGTTTGAAGCCCTAAATTTGGGAGTGAAATGTTATCTAGACTACTGGAGAATTTACTTTCACATTGTATGGTGCAGGATATTTAGACAAGCTTCCTTTGACATTGCCACTGCAGGGTAACCCCAAGGGGGTGCAGTTGAGAAGAACCCCAAGTTTTGAGGAACAAAACCCAGGGCAGTGGCTGGAGGGAGTTTTTTTCCCCATCGCCATTTATCTCCCCTATACCCTCTTCCAGCTCCACCCACCCCCGACCCCTGCAATCACCACACTGTTGTCTGTGTGTCCATGAATTCTTTCTCTTTTTTTCTTTTTTGCTCCATCCCTTCACCCTACCAACACCCAACACCACCAGAGCTGTCTGCCTGCTCTCTATCAATGAGTCTGTCTTTATTTTGCTTGTTAGTTCAGTTTGTTCATTAAATTCCATATATGAGTGAAAACATATGGTACTTGTCTTTTTCTGACTGGCTTATTTCACTTAGCCTAATGTTCTCCAGGCCCATCCATATTGTTGCAAAGGGTAAATTTTTTTCCTTTTTATGGCCAAGTAATATTTCATTGGTGTAAATGTACCATAATGTTTTATCTACTCATCTACCGATGGGCACCTGGGCTGCTTCCAAATCTTGACTATTGTAAATAACGCTGCAGTGAAAATAGAGGCATATAGTTTTTTGAATTAGTGTTTCCAGTTTCTTTGGCTAATATGCAGCATGTTTTTTAAAAAGAAGAGGACCTATAGGGTATACTGTCCCCAGAGGGAGAAGAGAAGCGAGGACAGGTCTCCTTGAGCTGGGGCATGGTATTGGGAGCAGAGAGAAGAGGGGAAGGCAGATTACTCAGAACTGGAGTGGAGGAATAGACTAACAAATGTTGATGTTAGTACCTGAAAGGATTTGTTATAATTTCTAACTTTTGCCTTCACCTTTGCCAATATTGGTGTGATCTGCTTTTAACTGTAGCAAACAGACTGTAGCTAGGGCATTGTGCATGTTGGGCTCTTTACCTGCCTGTTGGTGCATATTTGGAAATATTCTCACTGTATAGTTAAATGTAAGTGTGCTGTTATAGGCAGGGTAAAGGAAAGAAGGGTCATCACCAGCCAAGTCAGAGTGGTAAAAAGACTGGAATTTAACCTCTGGTGAGAAAAACCTTCTTTTCCTTCCAATTAATACAATTCAATATGACAGATAATGTTTAGTTTTCACAGTAGAAAAAAAATAGCCTTAGGTGTGCTTCCATTTGAAATCTGTTTCTGTATTTTAATTTGAATGATACCAAAAGCTACAAGTGCCATTCTCATAAGTTATGTTGTGTAAGGTGGTATCAATGACTTTAAGACTTTGTAAGTTTAGGATAATCAGACCACATACCTAAGCAAAACACTTGCCAGCAAGCATTCCTTAAATACCAGTTTTAATGAACTGTTTGCTGTCTTGAAGATGAGGTTTAACATTGTGACATTACTGAAATCTTTATTAAATGGTTCTCTAAACCAATTAATGCTGGCGTGAGAATGGAAAAATGTTGTTTCATACAACCACATTTACTGTGAATGAACTTTTGCAAATTGTACATGGTATTGGCTGTTAGCTATTGGCTTTTGAATATATCATGCCTGTATTGCCATATGCTCTGATTTTTCACTCTTTCAATTACAATTACTGTGAAACTTTTGCTCGTACAGTGTGCTGTGAGGATATTTGGCATGAAGGAGATCTTAACACAACTGAAGAAGCACCAGGGAAAGCCTACTGGCAATATTTGTTTAGATGGTAGTTACTCATGACCCAGAATGTCATTCATTTTAGATTATCTTTTAAATTAAACATTAAAAAAATTGTACACAATTCTTAGACTCCTCTTTCTCTTGACATATTTGTGACCTCCTGTTTAGGAAACGCTGCTTTAGAAAATATTTTTCTGATCACTATCTAGGAATCTAGGATTTAAAGATAAGAAAAGAAACGATAATCAAAAAAACTTGGCCATTCTTTTTTTTTTATATATAGTCTCACCTGGGGACATGTTTATTGAATTAATTTTTTTTTTGAGAGAGAGAGAGAGAGAAAGAGAAACATCGATCAGCTGCCTCCCCACATGCACCCTGACTAGGGTTTGAACCTGCAGCCCAGGTATGTGTCCTGACTGGGAATTGAACCCGCAACCTTTTGGTACACGGGATGAAGCTCCAACTAATTAAGCCACCCGGCCAGGGAAACTTGGCTATTCTTAATGTAATGAGAGACACTTTAACAACAAACTATAAATAGTTGGATTTGTGCTATCCTAAAGGTATGCTAAGAGAGCTATGGGAACTTACTGAAAGGAGCTGCCCAGTTAGTTAGTTATCTTAAGGGTAGAGGAGGGGTTCAAAATCTTGTTTGAACAGGGTCTTAAAGCAGTGGTTCTCAACCTTCTGGCCCTTTAAATACAGTTCCTCATGTTGTGACCCAACCATAAAATTATTTTCGTTGCTACTTCATAACTGTAATGTTGCTACTGTTATGAATCGTAATGTAAATATCTGATATGCAGGATGGTCTTAGGCGACCCCTGTGAAAGGGTCATTCGACCACCAAAGGAGTCGCGACCCACAGGTTGAGAACCGCTGTTCTTAAAGATTCAGAGGGTGGGTTTAAACTAGCAGAGAGATAGAATGTGTAAAGACCACCGTCATGAAATACATGATTGTCATAATGGTGAGACATGTGTGGCCCTAGATAGCATTTTTGTGAGTGGTAAATTAGAACCCAAAAGTAATTTTTATTTGTTAGACCAAGTGTTGAACTGTTACTTCATGTACTCTAAGGGAGCTGTGAAGATGTTAGAACTCGGAGAGTATTCATGGCAGAAGTTTTATATATAGCAATTACCATATTATATTGTAACATTCTCCTTCACTAGTCTTTGGAACTCTTGTTCAAGAGTTGTGACCATGAGTTATTAATCTTTGTGTACTAAGATTTTGGTAGAGTAACAGATAAAAAAGCTAATACTTAGAAAACCTTGGTTGAATGTACTTATGGGTAAAGAGGACTCAGGAGAGAACGATGACAATCTCCTATGATGGTGGTTTTAATCTTTTATGGGTGACAGACCCGTTGTAATTCTATAAAACTTCTCCTTGAAAAGGCAAATAAATACATAACAGCATTTGGCCTACAGTTTTGTGGGATTCATGCGCTCTAAAGCCAGTCCATGGAATTCTGGTTCAGAATCCCTCCTTAGGATACTCAAGGAACCTATAACCACCACCAAACCTCACCATGAGTAATTACTTTATCTTAACAGTCTTTAAATGTCAGATTATGACAGCGTCTCTTATACTTCCTAAAAAGGAAGAGATCATTGAAATAGCTGAACTATCTATGAAGAAAAACAAATTTTTTTATAATGATTAAGGTAAAACTTTTCTGATCTAGAAATAGAATAGACAAGTATGTTAATGAAGCCAGCAACCAAGAATTAGCTGCTTGAGGAGATCCTGACATTCCTGAATTTGGGTTTAGCAGGTGGGAGTATCCAAGACTACTTCTGGCTCGAAGACTTGCTAGAAGGACTCATGGGACTAAGAAAAGCTGTTATACTAATGGTTATGGTTTATTACAGTGGAAATACCCAGATTAAAATCATCAAAAGGAAAGGGCACATGGGATGAAGTCCAGGAGAAACTAGGTGCAAGCTTCCAGGTGTCCTCTCCCAGTGCAGTGGCACAGGTGCACTCCATAGCTCAGCAATGATGTGACAGCACTTGTCAACCAGGGAAGCTCTCCAGAACCTTGGTATCCAGGATTTTTATCCGGGCCCAGTCACACAGGCTTGCAGCATTCTTATCAGGGAGAATATTTCAAGGATTCAGAGTTCATTTCCTAGGAACTGGCCAAGGGCCAGTCCTGAATGAAGAAGGCCTTTCTTGGGAAATGTGAAGTATTGGAACAACTCAGGCCTGCACAGTAAGTTAGCTGTTCAGAGACTTAGCTTCGTTCTGACCTGCCTGTCTGCCTAGCCACTCTTTCTAGATAGTATAGACTTCCTTGGCCTCGTCATAGGTGGCCATTCTACATACACGAACTCTTCCTTTTTTCTTGCCAACAAGTAATTGGGAAGTTTGATTTGACTTAAAGAAGTAAATGTGCTTTGTAGTTTCATGAGATCATAGTGAAATGTACGTGCCTATTCTGTTGTTCAGTCAATGAGTATTTTTTGAATACTGCTACATACCAGACTCAATGCTAGATGTGGATTTACAGAAATGATTAATATGGGTCCCTGCCCTCAAGGAGCTTAGCGTTTCATAGGGGAGAGAAAAACAAAAGTAGCAATTCTGGTAAAGCAGTGTGTGCTTTGGGAAACAGTTAATCATTGGAGAGCATGGTGGAAGGTCTATTTGTGTGTGCACAGAAAGGTATTGGTGATAATTAGGGGAAGACTACCATAAAGGGGTCACTCCTTGAGTTGAGCCATAAAGATCAAATAGATAGAAGTGAGCATGGAGCTGGTGTTTCTCTAGTCATTTCTGTAGACAGGTTGCCTGTTTTGTTAGAGCACATATGTATTGTTACCTGTGCAGTCTCCTTGGCTTACTGAAAAAGCACCGTAATCCTGGCTAGAAGAGAAATGTCTTTCCCAGGGTTTGTACAAGAGAAAAGAGTGGTGCAATACAAATCTATTTCCATTACTCCATTACCATAAGTCCACCCAAATAGCATTTCCAACCTACATTGGAAGATTGTAGTATTTTCATACATTGCTCTTCGATAGGGGGAGTATGTGAATGCATAGTTTTGGACTAGTAAGAGTAAGTATAACCATACTGTACTTTGTTTCAAACGGGAGGGCAAATGCTTGCTTTACCTTGATGATATTGCATGTAACAATTTCTCTATACTTGGAAGCAAAAAAGCATTAGACAAGAACCTTGGTCCAAATTTTATCATATTTGGCTCTTACATATATGTGCTTCTCAACTCTCCTAAGAGGAATAAAGAGTTTTGTTTTTTGAAAAGTGCGAAGAAATTACTATAAGATCAGGACTGTCTTATAGTGAATATGGGATAATTTCAAAATGTTAACCTTGAGAATATTTTCTAATAAAATCTTGTTCTCTTTTCCTAGCATTACAGTGTTTCTGCCTCCTTTGCCCAAAAGACAATTTTACTTGTGTCACAGATGGACTCTGCTTTGTCTCTGTCACAGAGACCACAGACAAAATTATACACAATAGTATGTGTATAGCTGAAATCGACCTAATTCCTCGAGACAGGCCATTTGTATGTGCACCATCTTCAAAAGCTGGGTCTGTTACTACAACATACTGCTGCAATCAGGACCACTGCAATAAAATAGAACTTCCAACTGTTGGTAAGTTATTGCATAAGACGTTTTTTTTCTTGATACTACAAAGGAAAGCTTTAGACTCTGACTATGATTTTAGAACTGGAAGGGATCTTAGAGATTGTCTACCCCAGCTTGTTCAGTTTAGAGACAAGAACAAACTTGTCCACAGTGGCAGGGTTATAAGAGTAGCCAAGATCCTGATTCCTGGGTGTGTGTTGTTTGAGAGGTTGATTCCATGATACTTTCTGCTCACCACAGCAGTATGTCCTCAGAACGTCTTCAGAGTGAATTTTTTCTTTCTTGTTTAGTGCTCTGTCCTTTTAAAGCAATCAATAATGGGTGGGAATTGAAAGCAGCACTAAACAGTCCAGATGCCCTCATTTTGTAATTTCACCTTGCCCTATGAAAAAATGTTCTGGAAAAGCTAGAAATTTCAAGAATAAACTCTTAGGATTAGATTAATTTAAGGTTCTGGTTTAAGATGTCAATCTAAGCACACTTAATTCTGTCCTCAAATTTCTACTATAGTAATCAAAAGGAATATAAAAATAGGGGGGACCTATATTAATGCTAGCAGAATTAATGGAAGAATACTGCCCACATGCCTGCACTTGTGAGAAACTTTACAATTTACTAGTACCAGTTAGAGAAGGGCAGCAGTCCCCCACCTGGTACATGTGATAACAGCAAAGTGCAACTGAGTCTGCAGCATGACCAGGAAGCTCCCTGTGGCCAGGCTCTGTCAGACTCTTAACACATTGTACGCGGGAAACGTATTTATACATTTTACGTTGACTGTAAGAAGTAGAGCCACCTGTTAGCGCGCGATAAAAACTACCCGCAAACAATGTATTAACCTTTCTGGCTCTTTTTGTAAGCATCTGCAATTCTAATATGACAAAATGGTAATTCCAGAATTCTCCATTTCCATTATTTGGACTTAAAATATTTTAATGGAAACTCAACAAAACCTTGAGAAGGCCTCACTTCATTTCTAATGCTAAAAATGCACAAATTCCTTATTCCCAGGTCTTTGATACACAAAGAACAAAAAAATTACCAAATGAAAAGCTTCAGTGGTTTAAAAGGAGTGAACTGGATAAATCAGAGTAGATGTCACCCTTTGAAATAGACTTACCACATGATAGGGAAGAACTTTCAGACAGACCAAAGTCTATTTTTCAGTTGTTCACTGTAAAATGAGGGCATTTCACAGTTGATAAAGATTGCTTTCAGATGAAAAGCTTGATTGATGAATTATTTTTAAAAATGCAGTATTGAGAATGAACAGCAGACTGGATACGATAATTTTATAGTCAAGTGTGAGACAAGCTTAAGGCAAGATGAGCTTGAGAAACTGTTACAATTCAGAGAAAAAGACAGTTGGTGAGCAAATTAAGAGATACAGAGGACAGATCTAGGTGATCCAGTATGCTTAGTATAAATATTTCAGAAAAAGACATAAGAGTAGACTTTCTATGCAAAATTAATGAAAAAATACTTATCTAAATACATATAATAAAAGACAAGCCAATTTCAAGAATAAAGAAAAAATGTATATGCATTCAGCACAAGTGAACACGGATTGACTATAAAAGGGAAAAAAGTTCAGATTTTGTGCTTTTTTAAAATACTAGAGGGCAGTGGAACATCATATAGTGAATGTTACTTAAAATTCTTTAGACAAGCCAAGATTTTTCATATATAAAGGCAAAGGCATCTTTAGATAATTAAGTATTCAGCGTATAAGGCAGTGATGGCGAACCTATGACTCATGTTTTTGGTTGATTTTTCTTTGTTAAATGGCATTTAAATATATAAAATAAATATCAAAAATATAAATCTTTGTTTTACTATGGTTGCAAATATCAAAAAATTTCTATATGTGACACGGCACCAGAGTTAAATTAGGGTTTTTCAAAATGCTGACACGCCGAGCTCAAAAGGTTCGCCATCACTGGTATAAGGACACACATATACTCTTCCTGAAAGAAATTACTAGAATTAGAATTCTATGTTATAAGAAATAAATCCAAATAAGGATATCAAGAATGGAGAAGATGTGCTATTAAAGAAATGGTGGTGTGCAGTGAGCTAGCAAGGCTCAGGATGAATGCCAAAATAATTATAATTAACTAGAGGCCCGGGGCACAAAATTCATGTACAGGGCAGGGGTTACCTCAGCCCGGCCTGCATCCTCTTGCAATCTGGGACCGCTAGCTCCTAACTGCTTGCCTGCCTGCCTGATCACCCCTAACCACTCGCCTGCCTGCCTCATCTCCCCTAACCACCTCTGCGTTCCTGTCTCATTGCCCCTAATCACTCTGCCTGCCTGCCTGATCACCCCTAACCACTCGCCTGCCTGCCTCATCTCCCCTAACCACCTCTGCGTTCCTGTCTCATTGCCCCTAATCACTCTGCCTGCCTGCCTCATCACCCCTAACTGCCTCTGCCTCGGCCCCCGCTGTGGCTTTGTCCGGAAGGTCGTTCAGCTGTCCGGTCTAATTAGCATATTACACTTTTATTATTATAGAAAACTTTCTGAAACAATGTAAAGCAATAATTATTAAAAGAGATGATAAGAAAATAAGTGCTCTTGAATTAAAAACTCAAGTGATTAAAACAGAAGATAGTATACACATGCAAATTTTATTATAAAAAAACAAAGAATATATTTTGCCTGAACAAAATTGATGGATATATATACATATATACACACACATACCTACACTAAACTGAATTGTTTTGGAGTAGTGAGGCTCTATCTAGATTTATTTTTATTTATTTTTTTAACTTTTGCTCATCTAGTTCTTTTATTAGTGACCATGAGAGTAATAAATAGGGAGGTCCTAGAATACTGGTGGTAGCTGGCCTTGTTATTTATTTAGATGGCTGAAAAATGCAGGAAGAACAAGTGAATGTTGACTAAGTTGGTGATCATAAAAGGAGAACCCATGGGAGAAGGCTGAATGACTCACTTGTTCTGGTTTCCAGCCCTGTGAGCTGCTGTAATGAGGCTCTATGACTAATGGTGGTAGTGGCCAACTACAGGAAATGTGGAGAATTAGGAAATTGTGGATGCCACCTATCATATTTTTTATATTTATTTCACTTGCCCTTTTTCAGGAAAGCCATCACCTGGCCTTGGTCCCGTTGAACTGGCAGCTGTCATTGCTGGACCAGTCTGCTTCGTCTGCATCTCACTCATGTTGATGGTCTATATCTGCCATAACCGCACTGTCATTCACCATCGAGTGCCAAATGAAGAGGACCCTTCATTAGATCGCCCTTTTATTTCAGAGGGTACTACATTAAAAGATTTAATTTATGATATGACAACATCAGGGTCTGGATCAGGTAATATAATTGTTTTTCCTAAGAAATCTTTTAAAAATTAACTGCATTATTTAATTAATTGGCTGAGCCACTTGACTTGGTGTGTTAAAACTTGGGATAGTGTGAATACTAGTCCAGCTTGAGCCTAGTAAAGGTCTTTAAGCTTGGTCTATATCTGACTATGGCTACTTTAGTGTAGACAGATTAGAACTTACTTTTACTGAAATAAGTCAGTATATCAGCTTTACGTTTGTGTAAATTTCAAAGTATTCTCACCTTCTCAGGACTCCATGTGATAGTAAGAATAAGAAGAATTATTCTCATATAGGTCAGGCTGAGTTTAAAGATGTTCAAATGATATGCAGCTACCCATTCTATTAGGATTGTTTAACAGCTTTATTTTTGTCTTTGAACAGAAACAGGCATGACAGAAAGTGTGTTTCAAATTGTGAAGGTTATTTACTTTTTTATGAATTTTTCGTCATTTTCTCACTTCAGAAAAAAGTCTAACCACCTTGTTATTTAATATAATAACTGGATGGATCCATGGCCCCTGTGATGTTTGCTTTTCTCAGTTCTGGTCACTTTTTGTGGGATTAGAAATAGACTAAGAAATTGCCCTAACTGGTTTGGCTCAGTGGATAGAGCGTCGGCCTGCAGACTGAAGAGCCCCAGGTTCGATTCTGGTCAAGGGCATGTACTCCGGTTGCGGGCACATCCCCAGTAGGGGGTGTGCAGGAGGCAGCTAATCAGTGTTTCTCTCTCATCGAGGTTTCTAACTCTCTATCCCTCTCCCTTCCTCTCTGTAAAAAAATCAATAAAAATATATTTTTTAAAAAAAGAAATTGCCAGAATTATTCTCAGAAGTGGAATTTGACATAGCACTGCTTTATGTATAAACCAAAGGGGATTTATTTTTGACTTCTTGCTTTGGAAGGATACTAAGAGAGGAAGACCTCTATCCTCTATAGTATTTTAATGTGACACTCAGGTAGGAATTAAGAGAGCTAGACTCCAGTGCACACTTTGTTACTGTTTGGCTCCCTGACCTTGGTCAAACCATGTTTCCTCTTTGGGCTTCTATTTCTTCATCAGAAATATGGAACAGATACTTGGTAATACTACTTAAAGTGGTTTGTTAGGACTTTAAATGAGATATACTATCGCCTTTGAAAGGTATAAATCAACTTCAAATAAGGGTTATATTTATGGGTAAAATGAAGATTTGAAAATATATAATGAAAAATTCACTAATTTTATCACCAAGTGACTAAAGGAACGTTAAGCAGAAGTTGTGACTAGGGGAAGAATATGACTTTGAAGCACAAAATCACATCTGCTAATAAAGTTCACATAAATGTCAAATGCCTATTTATTTTAAGGAAATTAACATATTGATGGATATGCATCAGGAAAGATGCATATATCTATCTGTTCATTTAGAAACTGATTTCATGACCTGAAGTCTTCTTCAGTAGAATTTGGCGCCATATATATATATATATATATATATATATATATATATATATATATATATATTTAGTAAGTGAGTTCTGTTATGACTTATAGGGCACTGGAGCCCACATCTCTTAGGGCAGCCTTTAGGGACCCCTGAGAACATTGTGAGGAAGGAAGCAATGAGAGGTTGAATTGAGATGGAGCAGACTTAGTACTGAAGATGCGACAGTCTTTGGGCAGAAGTGGTAGAGGAGTGGAGATTGTTTTAGGGCTTCCCTGGGATTTCCCATTGATTCTGAGTTATTCCAAAGAGTTCCCCAAAGAAGATCTGGCTTATTCTAAAAGTTATTCTGGACCAAAATATGATAAGCAAGGACCAAAAGTCACAGGAAATCAGGGTAGCTACAGATCATTTGGAATTAATCCCTTGGACCTGTCTCTTGTTGCCAAACTTAGACCCAGGGAAATCAAAGCAACTTATGCCACTTGGCATAGGCTCCAGGGGAACAAGCCTACCTAAAGGAGCAAAAGAAATTACTGTCTGGATGGCAGTTGGTTTTCCAATAAGAATACATTTATTTACCTTAAAGATATAGATATGAAGTAAAGTCTTGAATTGTTATTTTTTCCATTTTATCTATAGTTATAGATCCATCAGGGATTACAGCTCTGTGATCTCTGTGAAAGCTTCACTTCTTTTATGCCTTACCCTGCAAAAACTTGTTTACATTTTTTGCAAGTAACTGTAGTTTGGGGTAGTTAGCTGATGTCTCATGTCTGAGTTATTTCATCGTTAAAATCCAAGTAATTAGATTGTTATGAGGTTCAAGTGAGACAAAAATGTTTGTGTGAAAACACGTGGGAAATGGTAACATATATCCAAATGACAGGTGTTACTCTTATTGAAAAGATATTTGGAAGAAAAATCTGACATACAGGATCTATTTGCTGCATTGTACAAAAAAGCTTAGTTGAAGGCCTCCTTTCCCTGTCATAGTTCATTGGGTGCTAAATGGCCTGCAGATTAATCCAGACAGAAGCTATTGTCTGTTGAATGACAACAGAAAATGCCATTTCTTTCCCTTCTATTCATTATAAAGCCTTATTGCCTGCTACCTCATGCATGGGACTCATGCTTGTGAGTAAATAAAATGTATATACATAATGCCCCTTTTAGTTCTTTTACTCATTGAGGAAAAGGTAAAACTAAACATTTCATGTTATGAATTTACATGCTTATTACTCAATACCAGGGCCATAATTGAGGAAAAGTCCTATCTCTCTCAGAGACTACTTTTAACTTGGGAACTGCAGAGAAGACAGTGAAGAGCTAACCTAATCCCTGTTGCATTAACTTGAGTCTCAGGTTGTGCATGTGTCCATATTTAAGCTGTCATTGGATCGTCAAGTGTGTGTGAGCATGCATATGTGTGCAGTGTTTGAAAGAGAGTGAGTCTCATACCAATGTTCCTTATGTCTTGTTCATGCTTATGATCTGTTATAATGTATGCATTTTATTTAGGTCTTATTTCTATTCACTAATGTGAAGCATTTTCCCCATTGAAGTTTACTCTTCTCAAGGTACAGAAGAATAAAGCAGAGAACATAGAGATCTAAATTAGACTTGTTTATTTTTGTCTTTAGAAGAAAATTATTACTTTTTGAAAATGCTCAGATATTCATGTGGTTATAGTAACCAAATGTAGATAATATGATGAATCTAGATGTGGTTTTTAATTTTAGGTCTGCATCTAGAATCCAAGGGTGATGGGAATAACAAAAACTTTCCTTGTCCCATTAGCCTATCTTGACCATCCCATTTACATGGGTCCTGAATTGTCAGCTATTTAGGTGAACTGGAATAGTCCCAAATACAGTGTTACTTAAATGTTGTAGGTAGTTGTAAATCCTTTTCTATAAATGAAATACGTGTGGCAATATTTCAAAAAACGCGTTTTAGAGTAAGGCAAGTTCAGTTGGAAAAAAAAAATTACCAAAGTAAATTGCTAGACACTTGTTTAAGATACTAGTATTGCATAGGCAGCCAGTTCCTAGCAAGTAAATTGCCTATCTTGAAATTGTTTCTGTGATAATTTACTGATTTATTAAAAGTTGGGCCAGAATTTATTTTTGTGTCTTGTATTCACATATTTTTCTCCTCCCACAATTAAAACTGTTACCAGATTCATCTTTCTAAAATCAGTTTTTTAAAAAAATTATTTCTCTCCATACATAGCCTCTTTTCAGACATTTTTAATAGTTCTTCGTTTACCCACAGCTCTCATTGGTCATGTTGAGCTTGGTATCTCTAGTATTTGTCACATTTTGGTGACAGTTTACCTTCTCTTCCACTGCTTTACTACATGCATCTCCTTTCTGTTTATCTAAGCTGGTTCCCTAAAAATGTATCATTCATTTCCTTCTTGTACCTATGCTTGCATATTCCTCTTACCTGAATACCTTACCTCCTTTTCTTCTCCTTAGGTATCCCTCCGTAAAGGCCAGTCTAAATTCAACTTACTTTACAAAGCCTACCTTGACCCTCTAGCCAGGAGTTTCTGGATTCTTTTAATGTATTTATTATTTACCTTTTATCATGAATTACTGTGTCTGCAAATGTGGTCTTTATTTCATTGAGATTGTAAGTTCCTTAAAAGTAGAGCTTAAAAGAGTTACACGTTTCCTATGGTGGTGTTGGATGCCCATACTTTTGTTAATTGTTTGTATTGAATACTATTTATTTTTATCTTCAGGTTTGCCATTGCTTGTTCAGAGAACAATTGCAAGAACTATTGTGTTACAAGAAAGTATTGGCAAAGGTCGATTTGGAGAAGTTTGGAGAGGAAAGTGGAGAGGAGAAGAAGTTGCTGTGAAAATATTCTCTTCTAGAGAAGAACGTTCATGGTTCCGTGAGGCAGAGATTTATCAAACTGTAATGTTACGTCATGAAAACATCTTGGGATTTATAGCAGCAGACAATAAAGGTCAGTAGCATTTACTTTTCCTTTGAGTGTAGTAGTAACAAAATCTATTTAATAAAGCCTTTTTACAGATATGGCTACTGAGTCCTGTCAAATTTAATGAGAAAAATAGATGTGTGTCATATAGATTAGACCCATTTGGTCAAATGGAATATATTAGAAGACTTTAGAACCAGGAACTCCTTAAAGATTTCCTTGACTCTTGACAACCTGTTCCTAAATCTCTAATTGTTTTATAACAGCTAATTTTTTAAAAAGCCACGTGCTTTGTTATTTTGCTTCTGGACAGTTAGTTATTGAGTAAAGTCATAATACAGAAAAACTTATAAACTCGGGTTGCTCAACATTTTGAGGTAGGATAGAGCCCAGATATCTGTTTCCATTTAACCTCTTCACCTTAAGAGCATTCTGATATACACTAATAACTTTATTTATAAGGAGAGTAAAAAAAAACTTCTCAGTGTAGTCTGTTTTAAGTTCCCTGGGGCTTAAATAGATTATTAAGTAGATACATGGTTTCTCCAAAACCACATTGACACTTCCTTGCTTGTGGCTCAGGTGCTTAAGGTCCAGGGTCAGATCAGATGCTGAGGAAGCAAGGAAGCCCTTTCAGGGGAGAGTCAGAATGAGTGGTGACTGTGAGCAGTGACTTCAGACTGTACTTGAAATACTTTTTTGGCTGCACCTACTATCTTTTGTCTACAATTTCTACTCTATAGCTTTTGTCAGAGACGTATGTTACAACTCAACTCTCATTATTCCTAACCTGAATCAAATGCTTTCCAGCTTCCCTATTTTTAAAAAAATGCTATCATTATCTTTTTGAGATTGGCCAGAACCATAGTTATCTTTTTCCTTCTCTCCCTTCCCATTTTTTTCAACGTTTATTGCTTCAAACTGTTAACAGTGTTTAAACTCGGTAATTATGGATGATTTGATTTTTCATTCTGCTTCTGTATTTTCAAATTTATATACAACAAGCATTTATTACTTGTTTATTTTTTAACTTTTATTTAGAGAAAATTTCCATTATATAAAAAAGAATAGTATAATGAACTTCCATCACTCACCTTTAATAATTATTAGTTCATTGCCAATCATATTTGATCTCTGATTTCACCTACACTGCCCCCCTAACTAAATTATTTGAAGCCAATTCCAGATAATATATCTTTCATCCATAAACATTCTCATTTGTATCTTTAGATTATAAAGAACTTTTAATGAAAAATAATCACACTACTATTATCACTTTAAAAAATATCAAATATCTAGTCAGTTTTAAATTTCTGCAGCTGTCTCTTATTATTATTATTTTTAAACAATTGGTTATTCATTTTAGGATACAAAGTCCACACATTGCATTTGGTTGGTTTTAATCTTAAGTCCCTTAAAATCTCTAGGTTCCTTCGCCATCTTTTGTTTTTTTTTCTTCTTGCAGTTTATTTGTTGAAGAAACTAAATTGTTTGTCCTGTAGGGCTTATCAGTCTGGATTTTACTAATTGAATTCCTATACTGTCTCTGAACTTGCTCCTTGTATTATTTGAAAACTGGTAGTTAGAATTAGAGACTGAATCTGAATATATTTTATTGGTTTCCTGAAAATATTTTCTGTTAGGCATGTTCCAAGTCGCAAACTGGCACAAAATGCTCCTGCTGCTGTGGGCTGAGCTTTCTCTTTGCATTTGCTCAAGCAGCAACCAAGCTGGTGCTGTCATCTGGTGGTCACCATGGGAACTAACTGACCTTGCTGGCTCTTCCCTTGCCCCTCTACCCCAGTTCCCTTCTCCCTTATCTTCATTCTCCTGGTTTAGTTAAATCTACCCAGATAACCTTTTACATATGCACAGCCTCTTACATATCTTTTTTCCTTCTGCTTTTCTTGTCAATTACCTCAGAAAATTCTGTCTTCCGTCTGCCTGCGTTCCTATTTATTTCTTGTATTTCATAATTCAGTCATGGATAATAAGTAGGCAGATACAGTAGTGATATATCTGTGTCATGGAAGAGACAAGGTACACTTTGAACAGAATCAATTTATGAAGAACAAGTTTGTAAAGAACTAGTATCATGAATCTCTAAATCCTTTTGAAAGTACTGAAAAATCCCCTCCAGAATCTTCTGAAAACATCTTTCTTGATCTCTTCTAATCAGAGTTGCTTTCCTTCAGATAACAGCCTTCAAAATATAGAAGTTGTTTTATGTCAATTTGGGTTTTGTCTTTTGTTTTATAACTAATGAGGAAAGAAACAGCACATTTTAAATTCTCATGTCCCATGCTATGGAACTAAGTGCTTTAATGTACTAAATGCATTTAAAAAAATCTGTTATTCTATTTTTAAAATCTTCTTAATGGTCTTACAAAGTAAGGTATTCTTGTTGTGTAAAGGGAGACACTGTGGCTCACTGGTTAGGAAACTTGTCTGAAGTCACTTAGTCAATAACAGCTCCTGGATTTGAACTCAGGTCACAATGACTTCAGGTGTGTATCGTTTACTGAATTGTGCTGCTTCCTACTATTGTAATACTTTTTCTCACAATTTTATGAAATGTGGTTTTTCATATATTTCTAGCTACTTGTACGTTAAATAGGCTTTTGCGGACCAGCCTATCCAAAACCTTTACCTTGATTCCCATGGGAAAACACATTGCAAATTCATGCATCAGCTTACAAGTGAACTTTTGGTGCATACATTCCTAGTTCTTGAGGTTTAAAATCACCTCATGTGTGTAAAACTGGGTTCAGTCCCAACTTTTTCTTCTCCTGACATTTCAGTTCTGGCTCAGTTTTTCCGTGTGCCAGTGATAGACTTTTATGAAGTCTTAGAGTCATAATCATCTCGTGTGGCTTCTTTGTTAACTATATTCAGAGCCTCTCATTAAAGCTTGCATTTCTTCATTTCACCTCACTTTGAGTTTTGTTCCATACTGCTCCATTCCACACTGTGGCCATACTAGGGTCCTGATACTTCTCATTTTCCTGCTTCCCTTCATTGTTTCCTTCCTCCCAGAAACAATCACTGAGCACCTAACCTGAACCAGGCATTTTTCTAGGCACTAAAGAGTTCCCACTTTACCACTGTCTCTGTAGACTCAAGATTACCATCTTTGAACTGTGATTTCTTGTCGTTCTCTTTTTTTAAAAATTTATCTTTATTGTTGAAAGCATTAGAGATTGTCTCCTTCCGCCCGCCCCCCATTAGCCCCCTCCATCCCGCTTTCACCCCCTCCTCAGCCCTTCACCGATTCCTTGTCTCTTAAATGGGATTAGTCATCCAGCCTTATCTCAGGATATGAGGCTTACTCTGAGGACCTAAAGGATGCATATGTAAAAGTATAAGACAAAATGAAAATACAGGAAAATATGAAGGAAATATTTACAGCTTAACAATGTTAATCAGCTTAACAATAACCCACAACCGTTGGACCAACTGGAAATATTTACAAATTTAAGGTTCGATCATATTGTAGTGGGATTTGGGATAAAGTGATAACTTTTGAACAAATAAATTGTAAATGTTCTACAGCCTGTCTGAAATATTGTTATTATACTTTGCAGACAATGGTACATGGACTCAGCTCTGGCTGGTGTCAGATTATCATGAGCATGGATCCCTTTTCGATTATTTGAACAGATACACAGTTACTGTGGAAGGAATGATAAAACTCGCTCTGTCCACAGCAAGTGGACTTGCCCATCTTCATATGGAGATTGTTGGTACCCAAGGTAACATGAAGCAATCCTGTTTTCACTTTCAATTCCCATGGATCTAGTGTCTGTTCAGAACATTTTTGTAGGAAGTCAGTCTAATTGGAGATGTTATATTTCTGTTGAAAATCTCACATGGAGTCAGGAATCTAGGAATTTGTTTAAAGATCCTGTAGTCATTGTAACAATACTGATATTTTTGTGAGTTCTTAAAAATAGCATTCAGTTTCCTACTCGTGATTTTTGAGGATATTGATTTCAGAATTCAAGTCTAAGAGATGTATTTTTTATGTGTAGTATCAAATGAAAGTGGAAATGCTTTATAAATGTCAACATGCTATATAAATGTTATCTTCCATCTAACAAAATTATATTTGACTTTGAGATAAGACTGCATGAGACCCTTTGACAGTTGAAAAATTAAATATGTTTTAGTTATTAAATGTTTATGCTATGATTTTTGTGCTATGTAGGATATCAGACACCAACAAATCTCTATGCTCTAGTGATTATCCACTTGCTACCTGTTTCACTTGAGGTTGTTAAGTAATGACCCAGGTAAAAATTGTGATTGGTACTACCTTTTAAGCAATTATGTTTCATTTCTTTTTCTTTAGGAAAACCAGCCATTGCTCACAGAGATTTGAAATCAAAAAATATCTTGGTAAAGAAGAACGGAACTTGTTGTATTGCAGACTTGGGACTGGCAGTAAGGCATGATTCAGCCACAGATACAATTGATATTGCTCCAAACCACAGAGTGGGAACAAAACGGTATACTTGTGAATAAATAGTCTTTAATATGTTCTAAAAGCAAGTTCTTTTCCTTCTCATCTGCATATACATATTTTCTCTGAAACTCAACCTTTATTAGATTGGCCACAGGTAGAAGATCTTATGGTTTTATCTGCTCAGAAACCAAGGTTACCTGACTTAAAAAGAAGCCTGCTGATGAAAGATGGTCCTTCCAGAAAATATTTTCATTAGTGATGTTAATAATAATAGCAATAGGAGCTAATGTTTATAGGGTACCTACTGTGTGCCAATCATTTTAATGAAATTTTTAAATATATTATCTCATTTGATGCCCTCCTCAAATGCTGTACTGTAACTATCCCAACTATTTTCAGTTCCTGAAAATATGCCTGCCTTTCTTCCTTAAAACTTTTGCATGTGCTGTACCTAGAGTCCACTTTCCCCTACTGTTTCCCTAACTTGTACTTACCCTTTCTTTCTCATAGGAAGCCTTTCCTGGACTATTAGGTGTTCTTGCCAACAGCTCTCATAGCATGCTGAAATTGGACCGTTAAGGCACTTAACACATTATGGTGTAATTATTTATTTGTCTGTATATTCCATTGGGTTGTAGGCCACTTGGAAGCAATCTGTATTCTCAGTATCCATCACAGTGCCTAATACATAGTAGATACTCAGTAAATATTTGTCCTCAAAATAATCTAACTAGGTAGGTGTCATTATTCTCAAGTCACAGATGAGGAATACACCTCATAGAGGTTATGTAATGTGGCCAACCTCTTAAATGGATGGTAAGCTGAAGAGCTGAGATTTGAACCTGTGAACACAACATATCTTCAAACTACCACCTTGGCCTTGAAGTGAGCCAAGCTTTATCTAAGTTGTATTTATGACTTCTGGATTCAATAGGGACTCTCAGAATTCTAAACTCTGGTTGCAGTACAGTGGTTGCCACAGGTCTTTGTAGGTCCTGATCTGTAACCTTAGTAGGGCTTTTGAAACCTCAGGACTCCACACTGTGGCATCAATAGGAAAATTAGCATTCGTTTTAATCTACTATTTTCTTCCCTGGGCTATGTCCCTGCCCTATTGTCCACCCGATTTTAATGAGGAGACTTCTAGATTAAAATAAATAGTTCCTGCAAAGTACATGACAAAGTAGGTGGTGTGCATCAGGACATTTGTTAACAGTCACAGTTGTTTCCTGTGGCTTTCATTGAAAACTAAGATTATAAGGCAGGTAGCAATTAGGGTTTAATTGACACCATTAATTTGGAAGCCAGTATGGTTATATAATACTTTTCTTGAGTCTAATATGATCTCAGTTATGTAATACTGTATTTGTATGAATAGAGAGATGTCTGAAAGCATATTCATCAAACATTAACACTGTGTGATAGTAATGGAATGATTTTTTACTTTGTACTTTACTTTGGGTAAATATTTATAAGGATGGGTCAGTTAAAAAACCCAGCAGTACCATGCTGAAAGAGGGGGAAAGTCATATATATATATTTTTTTCTTTTTTAATTCTCAGGAGTAAAAGAAAATTTATTAAACAGTTCAAAAATAATATGGCCACCATTCAATAAAATAAAATACTGATTTCTCTTTTAGGTACATGGCCCCTGAAGTTCTAGATGATTCCATAAATATGAAACACTTTGAATCCTTCAAGCGTGCTGACATCTATGCAATGGGCTTAGTATTCTGGGAAATAGCTCGAAGATGTTCCATTGGTGGTAAATTTCTTCCCCTTTCCTCAACAGTTTGTCATGAAACAGAAGTTGTTTAAGAATTGCTTTCTCTTTTATTGAATGAAATTAAACACATCAACAGTCTGAAATTATGCTCACCAGGTGATCAGGAGAGTGCCAAGAAAATAAAGGAGCCAAAACCTGTAATGGGGGAACACAACGTGACATGCTTTACCTAATGCACAGCTTTATCCTAATATATTCCTTTTCTGTTTCCTCTTGAATCTTGGAAGGCATCAGACTCTAACCCTTTATTTTCTTGAAATAGAGTTATGTTGAATGGATGACTGCTTTGGTGGTCACCCAGGAAACTGTCTAGCATGCACCTGAGTCAAACTGATTTTTCCTCCTGAGATGGTGGTTATTTTTCCCAACTTGGAAATTAGGTATACAGAGTACAGTACAATTACACCGCCATTACGTTGCTTTTTGACGTAAGTTTGCTTTAACTTTTTTTTTTTATCCTCAAGGAGTGACGATATTTTTTCCTGTGTGTGTGTGTGTTTTAAGAGCGGGGCAGAAGGGTAGAGAGAGACAGAGAGAGAGAGATCGAGAGAGAGAAACATTGATTCGTTGCCTCCCACATGCGCCCTGACCGGGGTCAGGGATCAAACCTGCAACCCAGGTGCATCCCTTTGACCAGGAATTGAACCTGAGACCTTTTGGTGTGTGGGCTGATGCTCTAGCCACTGAGCCATGCTGACCAGGTCTGTTTTAACTTTTAAATTTAGTTTTAGGTAGAGCACTTTTTTTTTTAATATATTTTATTGATTTTTTACAGAGAGGAAGGGAGAGGGATAGAGAGCCAGAAACATCGATGAGAGAGAAACATCGATCAGCTGCCTCCTGCACGCACCCCACTGGGGATGTGCCCGCAACCAAGGTACATGCCCTTGACCGGAATCGAACCTGGGACCCTTGAGTCTGCAGGCCGACGCTCTATCCACTGAGCCAAACCGGTTCTGGCGGTAGAGCACTTTTGATGTTTCCTTGAGAAAGGCTCTTATCTGGGAGCCCACACTTGGATGAGACTAGGTGATGGCGAACCTTTTGAGCTCGGCGTGTCAGCATTTTGAAAAACCCTAACTTAACTCTGGTGCCGTGTCACATATAGAAATTTTTTGATATTTGCAACCATAGTAAAACAAAACAAAGATTTCTATTTTTGATATTTATTTTATATTTTAAATGCCATTTAACAAAGAAAAGTCGTGTCACCTCTGACACGCGTGTCATAGGTTCGCCATCACTGGACTAGGGTCTCAGGTTTTTGAGGCAGTGAGGGGCAGAGTGTGCTCTGCATTGTAGCAGAGAGAACAGGTCATTGACAGATGCAAGTAGAGGAAGGGATTTGCACCTCAGGCTTGTCTTGTAGGATTCCCATCTCAGTGATAGAGGGTATATCCCCATGCCAAGTGAGAGGCCATGCACTCATGGAAGAAAAACTCATTAAAACTCTTAAGAGTTCTAGAGGAAACTATCAATCTAGTCCCCACAGCTCATAATTCATCATCATTCAAATAGCCCTTTATGATCCCACAGTAATATATAGTTTCAAGGTGTGAGCCCAATCAGGTTAGGGAGGTAGGTTGTTGATAGAGATGCGGATGAGACAGAGCAAGCTGTGAACCCTGTTCACTCACCTAGTTTAGTAATGGGACCCTGTGATAGCACGCTCAGGACTTCCTTTCCTGCCTGGTCAAAGAATGGTCTGGCATTATCTGAGTAAACTCTTTAAAATCCATTTTTTCTTTCTTTCTTTTACCAATATAGGAATTCATGAAGATTACCAGCTGCCTTATTATGATCTTGTACCTTCTGATCCATCAGTTGAAGAAATGAGAAAAGTTGTTTGTGAACAGAAGTTGAGGCCAAATATTCCAAACAGATGGCAGAGCTGTGAAGTGAGTATTTTTTTAGACACTATGCAGTTTTCTAAACTACTGTTTAGTAACTGCAAATTTGCTACTTTTCTTTAAGGAAAACAGACACAGGTTCTCTTTTTCTTTTTCATAGCAGTTAAACTGAGTGAAACGGAATAATTTGTTTTTCATGTTAGTTTTTAAGCACATTGAAAGGGCCATGGTGTAGTTGCACTGGCCATGAGAACAGTGTTTATTTGGACCTGCCGATAACCAAAGCACCTGCATTTTAAATGAATACTTCCCTTCAATCAGGGCAGTCCAGAATAGTGGGATGCGTGCTGACAGGAATCGGGAGACCAGTATTCTAGGTCAAGCCTGGGTACCATTTCAGAGCGACACTGGGCAAATGCCTTCAGTTCTCTAACTTTAGCATGACTTTTTGTAAAATGAAGAACTTGGATAAGATGATTATGAAGATGGTTCTGATAGTTTTATATCTTATTCTTCTCATTGCCCGTATGATCACTCACCAGGAATTTGGGGAAAAAGCTCCCCCCACAGTGTCTGAGCTTCTCAACCCTAGCTCTTACAAAAAGTTTTAGAAATCTCTTTGTAGTTGTAAATTTAAAGAACTTTTAAGACAAATTTTATGGAATCCATCTTTAATTGTTGCCTGTTACTAATCATAATACTGGTGAGGCAGAACATTTCCCTCCAGATTTGAAGTTTTGTACTTTAGGAGGAATTAAAAGCTGACCACTAAGTAGTTGATTTTACATCTCAAAATAATGTAGGACTCAGTAGAACCTTTGACATCAAGAGCTCTCCTTAGCTATCTCCAACAAAACCATGTACTTAGACCCAGATATGTCTTATGTGTGCAAAGAATCGGCATGTTTAACAAATGAAATTGGGCTGGATTTTGCCTCTGAAAAATTTGATCTTAATACTGCAGTACAGACTTGAGTATTTGTGTATTTACTCTATAATTCGAACAGATTCTTCCTGAACAGATAGGTGGCTTTTTACCCATCAAGAAAAGTTTAAGAGCATACCTGAACTTGCAGTGACTACCACATCATGCTGAATTAATGCCATTCAGTTTGTTTTTTCTCCATTTAGTTAGTTTTTTATGTACTTATCACTAATTCAGTTTTTCACTTTCCTAGGGTTTTATAAATCTCCTCTCAATAGTTGAAACATATTTTAAAAAATAGATGAAACTGACTAAAGAAGTGCCTTTAAGAACCTTCTGACCTTTTCCAGTCGGGATTGGTTGCTCTCTAACCCAGCTGTACAGCTTTCATCTTGGGATATCCCTCACCTTTGGTCCTGGGATTCTCTTTGCCTGTTTTGTCGTGAATTCTCCTTCCTGGATCACATGTTTTCATGTTTCTTGGTTTGCTCATTCCTCCCCTCCTTTAGGTCTCTGCTTAAATGTTACCTTGTCAATGAGATGTTACTTCTCCATCTGTTTAAAATAGCATCCCTCTTGACCTGGCTGGCGTGGTTCAGTGGTTACAGTGTCTGCCCACTCACAGGTTTGATTTCTGGTCAAGGGCATGTACCTGGGTTGTAGGTTTCATCCCCAGCCCCAGTCTGGGCGCATGTGGGAGGCAACTAATCCATGTGTACCTTTCACATCGATGCCTCCCTCTCTCTCTCTCTCTCTCTCTCTCTCTCTCTCTCTCTCTCTCTTTCTTTCTCTCCCCCCCCTCTGTGTCTCTCTCTCTCTTCTTCCTCTTCCCCCTCCCCTCCCTTCTACTTTCTAAAAATCAGTGGGAAAAAATATCCCCAGATGAGGGTTAACAACACCACCAACAACAAAGCATCCTCCTCATCTAGCATATTTTATCTTCTTCCCTAAATGATGTTTCTCCTTAGCACTTACCGCTGACAGTCCATGTATTTTGCTTATTTGTTAATGTTATGCTTTAACTCTCTAGAATATAAGGTTTATGAAGGCAGGGATTTTGTGTTTGTCCACTGCCATATCCCCAGTACCTAGGACAGAATCTGGTATGTGGTAGGTACTCAGTAAATATTTGTTGAATGAATATATGTCTGTGATGGGCACTTGGTCCTTTTTAATCTAGAAACAAATGTTCACTTCTAGGAAATGTTTCTGAAATATTTATTTGATTTTCTCTTTCATTTCCCTCTCTTTTCTTTTTTCAACTCTGATTATGAATGTTAGACCTCAGAAATAAAAACCTATCAATGAAATATCCAATACCATATTTTTTGGATCTCTTTGAGGATGTTAATGATAGATTGTTGATTTTTTTTTTCTCTGTATACAGCTTCTGTTTTCTCCAAGCTGCTTTTTTCTGTTTGTGTCAGCTTCTGCATTTTATAGACTTTTCTCAAATGTTTGATGAAACTCATGCTCTGTTTAAAAACAGGGCACTGAATGCTTATAGGAAGCTCTGTGCACAGGAATGGAGCTTTTTGACTGTAATCTTTAAGTGATCTGACAGGGGCCACTGATCTCAGTCCCTTCAGGTCTCTCCTCTAAGGACTGCTCACATGCTCCAGGGAAGACTCTTCCAGGCTCTTGCCTGGCGTAGTATGTACATGTTGCTGCCTGTGTTTTGGGGAGAAAGCCTATGGTCTTAGCATTTAGTGTATTGTCAGTATGGAACTTTCTCATCTATGTTCCCCAAGTCAGAAATTTCTATTTTACCCTCTCAGATACAAACCTCTAGTCTATTACTGGGGTAGGGAAGGGGGAAGGGCAGGTATCTGGGGTTCCAGCTCTTTTAGCTAATGCTTCTATTTTTCGCCTGAATTTCCCTCTAAATTAGTGTGAGTCAAGTTCCTTCTTTGCCTTACAGAGCTCTGATTTAGGATTCAACTTTTTCAGGTGAGTGAGTCGCTCTGTGTCTCCTTTCCAGCTGCTAGTATTGGTACCTCATCAATGGGAATTTAGGTTATTTCTGTTCACATGGTATTACAAATGCTCAAACAAAAAACTTGTACATTTAGAAATGTCATTTAGAAGTAAAACTCGCAGATAAATTATATTCTTATCTAGCCCTAATCGGTTTGGCTCAGTGGATAGAGCGTCGGCCTGCGGACTGAAGGGTCCCGGGTTCGATTCCGGTCAAGGGCATGTACCTTAGTTGCGGGCACATCCCCAGTGGGGGGTGTGCAGGAGGCAGCTGATTGATGTTTCTCTCTCATCTATGTTTCTAACTCTCTATCCCTCTTTCTTCCTCTCTGTAAAAAATCAATAAAATATATTTAAAAAAAAAATTATATTCTTATCTAGATGGATTGATAGAGTGCATGTATTAATTCTTTTTCTTGTATTTTCTTGTAGGCCTTGAGAGTAATGGCTAAAATTATGAGAGAATGTTGGTATGCCAATGGAGCAGCGAGGCTTACAGCTTTGCGGATTAAGAAAACTTTGTCACAACTCAGTCAACAGGAAGGCATCAAAATGTAACTCTGCGGCTTTGCCTGAACTCTCCTTTTCTTCAGATCTGCTCCTGGGCTCTAATTTGGGAGGTCAATTGTTCTACCTCACTGAGAGGGAACGGAAGGATATTGCTCCTTTTGCAACAGTGTAATAGGTCAATTTAAAACTTCCCAGGGTTTCTTTGGGCCCAGGAATCAGCCATGTGGGTCCTTTCTGTGCACTATGAACTCTTCTTTCCCAGGACAGTTACAAAGTGTTGTATAGTCTACCTTTATTTTTTATTAATACAAAACTTTTTGTTTTTTAAAGCTAAAATTGCTGGTCTTAACGTTAGGTAACTCTGCTGTGCTGAAGATCATTGTTAAGGGTAAAGGAGCTGGATTGCTGAGTTATCCGAAGCATTTCTTATTTTTAAAGAAAGAATTTACTCCTGGTTAGTACATTCTCAGAGGATTCTGAACCACTAAAGAGTTTTCTTGATTCAGACGTTGAATGTACTATTCTGTAAATTTCAGGATCTTAAAACTAACACTTAAAAAACTCTTAGCTTGAGTCTAAAAATGACCTCATATAGTAGTGAAGAACATAATTTATGCAGTTTTATTTTGTATACTATTATCGTTCTTTCACATATTCAGAATATTACATGCCTTCAAATGGGATTGTACTATACCAGTAAGTGCCACTTCTGTGTCTTTGTAATGGAAATGAGTGGAATTGCTTAAAGTCTGTGCGTGTTAAAACCTGTAGTGTTTCAATTCAGATAGTTTATCTGGGTAAACCAGACATCTTCTCTTTTGCTTTTTTTTTTTGGAGAGTTTTTCTGATGTCATTTTGTATTCCAGTTTGAAAATGCCTTTCTCCTACCAGAATGTGCTTAAACCACTAAAGAAGTGAAGTGGCATTAATTGGTAAATTGTTATCATGGTCATGTTGGATAGTCTCTCATCAGGGTTTTGCATTTTAGTTGTGTTGTCTAAGTATACTTTAAAAAATATCAAGTGGCACTCTAGATGCTTATAGTACTTTAATTTAAAATTGGTAGCATACAGACTAATTTTTCTAAAAAGGAAAATTTGTCTAGCTGCTTGTGGAAAGTTGTGTGGCATTCTGTAAGCCATTTTGTTCTTTATGTGATCAAAGACAGTGTTATTTTTTTAAGAAATGAATTACGTTTAAAGTTAGAATATGGTTAATGTTAAATGATAGGCCTTTTTCTAGGAAGGTAAAGGTAGTTAATTGAGTAGATAACAGGTGTGCGAGAGAGTCACATTTGTTACGTAGGAGTCACTGGTGGGTTTTCTGTCTGTAACTGAGGTTAGAGTTAGTGTGGTTTTGAGGTGTCACTACATTTTGAGGAAGGCAGCTTTTAATTCAGTCTTTCCTTCTGTGTGCAGATATTTTAACTGCTTAATTTACATGGCTCTGTAATAAATTCAGCACACTCGTGGTATTTGGGAGAGTGGTAGCTAAAGCGTATTCTGAGTATAGGTTCTCCATTTACAAATGTTTTTGGTCAAATTGAATGTTTACAATAAACTGGTCATGGTCTTCTCACATTAAGTTGAAACTAGCTTATAACAACTGGTTTTACTTCCAGTGCTAAAAGTCTTTGCAGAGCTTTTACAGTTTTTAACGTTTTCTTTATCACTGTGATCTTATTCTGAGGGGCAAAACTATTTAGCTGTGAGGCAGACACTGACTTTATGGTGCCGTCGATTTCCCAGTGAAAGAGTTAGAATAACCTTTACAGTATTCAGGTCAGTAAGAGGTAGTGGCCATTGACGCTGACTAAACTGCATTCTGATAATGTCTTATCTCTTATACATAGACTAAGTTTGAAAGACTATTTGGTCTTAAAACCAAAGTAATTTTAGAAAAAATGACATTACACAGGAATTTAGTGTCAATTTCATGTGTTTAAAAATGTCATGGGGAAATGTCCTTAGAAGTTAATATTTTGACTCCAATATTTTGAATTATTTTTGTAGTTTCCGTAATTTCATTAAAGTAGATATATGAGTTTGACAGGTTTGTTTTTATAATTGTGTTATATTTCCTGTTTAATAATCTCTAGCTCTGTGATTAGGCACTCTTCCCCCCCCTGCCATTTCTAAACCTACCAGATCTGCTTTATGAAATCCAGGGGACCAATGTATTTTATCACAAACTATTTTTATATAATTTTAAGAACCTACCAAAAGTTCTTGTCTGATTTAAAGTTGTGACATGTGATTGCTCACTTTCATACAAGGTAATCGAATTTTGTTGATTATATTGTTTATGAAATCAAAGATTGAGTTACAATTATACTTTTCTTAAGTTGATAAAATGTATTTTTGATGAGTCAGGGAATTTTTTTAAAGTTGAAATTTAGTTCTAAATTTTATTTACATATTGCAGCTAGTTCCTTGTTTGGCTAATGACAGTTTGATAAACCTCAATTGGCTAATATTGAAAATGAAAGTAATTTAAAAAATGAAACAGATCATCTGCAGTTAAGTTTGACTAGAGTATTAATTTTGTCGTTTAGAAACTTAAGCCTTTGTTTATACTGCCTGTCTTCAGATGCTCACCTTCTAAGATTCAACTTGGCTAATATATACCTTCAGGCAAATTACCTGTCCACATCCATTTTGTCAGTACCCTGGAGGAATGAGGATGGGGAGGTATGGCCTATGGGGGCACAGACACTCATGGTCCTTCCTTTTATAACTTCAGCTCTGTTTCTTTCAACCTGCCTTCCTGCTGATCCCTGACTCAGAGACCATAACCTTGCCAACCTTCCCCTTCCCCTTCCCCTTCCCCAGCAGCCTTTCCAATAAATAGCTGACTTTGATATCTATCGTGATATCTAAAATGGTTGTGGAAGTTGTGGGACATACTTTCATTTTTCATTTCCTTGAATATTGGATGTTACTGAGAAGGGTCTCCAAGTTGGAGATCGGGCAGATGATGGTCCTGCTGGCTGCCCTACTTTGACTTCAGCCTTGGCCAGCGAGTGGCAGCTATGGCAGTGGGAGATATGCCGGAAGCCGTGGCCAATTGTATTCCCTATAGGACAGGGGGAAGCCCAAAGAGCTGAGCCTATAATTCTACTGTAATAATAGTGCTCAAGAAGTGCCTTGAGTTGGTATAGAGTGCCATGCCATCAAGAATTCCAAATTTCAGTTCTTACTACAAATGTAACTGGTCACTTGGCCACTTTGCAGCTTATGCATGAGTTACCTTTTATTTTTCTCTACATCTGAGAACTGTCACATAGAATATTCTGTAAAACATGATGGCAAAGTGCTAATTAAAATGCATAACAAAATCAGTATCCCATTGGACATGTCACATCAAGAGTTAATTTTTATCCTCACACTGAAAGAGCAATTGTAAGTCACCTGTTTTTTGTTTCTTGATTGTGGCGGTGTTTTGGCTCCAGATAATAGAGATTCCAAATTATGATTCTGTTACAACTTGGCAAAAAATGCCAATTCACATATTTTTGAGATCTTAGGGATAGCTCTGGACATGTAGTACAGCTTCTTATGTCTGTTTTGGAACACTGGGTTAGCCATGGCCCTCTCTCTAGGAATGCTGGACTTCTAGGACGTTGAGGATTGTCAGTACATTCAAAGTTTTCCATCCCGTTATGCAATCTTATTTTTAATTGTAAACTTTAAAAATGTGGTTAATAACATTCAACCTGTTTCTTAAAGCTTAAAAAGAACTTCATTGAATTTATTTTTATTTTTTTAACTAGATTTGTGAATGAATATGATGAACTGTGTTTTGATAATCCCTTTTTCACATTGTGCCAATGGAATGGGGTGTTTGCTATTTCTTTATATGTCAAGGAGATGCTTCAAAATGTCAATTGCTTTAAACTTAAATTACCTCTCAAGAGACCAAGGTACATTTACCTCATTGTATATATATGTTTAAATATTTGTCAGAGCATTCTCCAGGTTTGCAGTTTTATTTCTATAAAGCGTGAGTATTATGTTGTTACATTACTCAAATGGTACTGTATTGTTTATATTTGTACCCCAAATAACATCTTACTTTCTGTTTTCTGTATTTTATTGTATTTGTGTAAAATCCTTTTGGCTTTTATCATGTAATCTCTGCTCTTTCAGATGTGTACAGAAAATGTCCATATAAATTTTCCTTTAAGTTGAATGATTTTGAGAAACCTGTAAAGAGGAGAGAAAAACAAAAACTGCAGTTCCTCATAAGTTTTTAAAGTATGTATATTGTATTTGTAGTAATATTCTGAATGAACTGTAAATAGGAAGTAGAAGAGTGATACTTAATGTCAAGTCCTAACACTACAGTAGAACAATGGAAACAATGCAAATAAATTACTTTTCCCCCAAGTAACAGTGGCGTCACCTATCTATCTATCTATCTATCTATATAAAAATCTAATATGCAGATTGTCCCCACTAGAGGTCGACCAGGAGACTGATCGCTCGCTATGACGTGCGCTGACCACCAAGGGGTGGCACAGAATGAAGGAAGGCCCCGCCCGGCCAGCATCCAGCAGCCGGGGGAGGGAGGCCCCGATCGGCCTTGATCACCGGCCAGGCCTAGCGACCCTACCCGTGTATGGATTTCATGCACCGGGCCTCTAGTTTAAAATAAAGTGTGTCTGACCGAGTGAGCCATGCTGTTATGAAATGTAGTTGCTGAAGTTAGAGACTAGAATCTTTGGATTCCTACCCAGGAAAAATTACAGTATTGAAACATGTTAGAGAATTGCTCACCTGCCCAGGGTGCATCTCTGTGCTGGCTTCTTCCCACCTGCTGGGGGCTGTTGAGCTGCCAGTGGTCAGGATGGGACCTGTCTGCAGGGGAACTGCTTTGCTTCTGACTCAGCAAGTTTGCTAAGTTTGTGTTAGAGCCATATTATTATTTTGATTCTTAAAGAACTGCTGGAGGAGATGTGCTCGAACCCCTGACTGGCTGGGACATAGGGGTTGCAGGTTAGATTGCCCTCAAAGCAGAGACTAGTCACTTCAACTCAAAGACTGGACTTAGGGGTTTTTTTCTTTCTTCATAATAAGACACCTCTGTAGAGCTTTCATTGGAAAAACTGACATTTTCTTTAAAAAAACATAGATTCAGAAAAACAGCTTGACTAGCTTTATATAGGTCTCTTCTGCCTCTGGTGTTTCCTGATTTGGAAAAGGTGTTTTTACATATATGGCCTGCTAGACATATCTGGCAACTGCACTTTTTTAGCTTCCTAATCAAGGATTTACAAAATGGGGCTATTCTGAGAAATGAGTAGAAAAACTTGATGTTACAAAGGCTGGGGCCCTTGTCTTCCAGGGACCCAGGCATGTCTGGGGTGCCCTGTCAAGGAGCACAGTGCCTCATCTTAGTGGAATCTTCTCTGTGTAGCTCTGTAAAGCCATGTCATATTGTACACATGCTTCCCGTTAAGCCCTTATGCAAATTCTGTGTCTTTGAATGGTTCTGAGGCCTGCCTCTGCAGCTGGAAATGAAGACTCCAAGAGTCACTCATTTCTGGGAACCTATTGCCTAGCCCAGGGTTTGGATCAGAGCAAGGAGAGCCTGAACGAACGATCATCCTGCTAAAGGAATCCTAAATGAGCATGAATTGATCTGAGCGCAGCTGTGGAGCTGGATGTTCACTTTAAAGGAGCAAGTCTTTCATGCTGGGGCTCTCCAAGTGGAGGGCCTGGCTTCCCTCTTTCTTTTTCTTTTTCTTTTTCTTTTTTTGGTTAATCAATCCTCTCCCGAGGATATTTTTTCATTGGTTGTTAGAGTAGAAGGGAAGGGGAGAGACAGAGAGAAACATCGATGTGAGAGACACATCGATTGGTTGCCTCCCACACACGCCCTGACCAGGGCCAGGGATCTGGCCTGCAACTGAGGTACATGCCCTTGACCGGAATCGAACCTGAGGCCCTTCAGTCCACTGGCCAATGCTCTATCCACGGAGCCAAACCAGCAAGGGCTCTACTTCTATTGTCTTATTATTCTGTATTTTTCTCATACTTGTTGTTTTCTTTAAAACAATGAGCTCTCCTTAGAACCCAGCAACTTTTAATAAAGTGGAAGTTTGGAGCTCGATTGAAATTAATGTGAAAGGACATTTTTACATTCTCAATATATATTTATTGAGCATTGACTAGATAACATCCTGTACCTATCATCCCCCTCTTCCTAGTTCTTGTACTAGCCTTCCAAAAACAAACAAACAAAAAACAAACACAACCACATTGAGAATTCTTATTTACAGCAGCCCAGTGTCTGAGGTTAGTGAACCAGATGATTTTGGAAGTCTTTTCAGTTCCACTACATTTGTAATTCTAATACGGTGGCGGTTTTACTTGTTTGTTTTGTTTTGTGTTCCTTTTTTAAACCCATAAGTTGGGTTGAAGGTTGCTTTGATCTTATTGGGATGTTGATATTTTCAACCTTTACTTTAAAAAGGAACAAGAGTTTGGTTTATTAGATTTCAGGGCCTGAGTTTTTAGGAAACGTGTCCTAAGGGTGGGTAAGTGAGATATGCAAATCCAGTGCCTGCTAACAGGTTGGGTGTGGCAAGATGGCTAATCAGATGCAACTTGGTTCCTCTTAGACTCTGGCTCCTTGGTATATTCGAGTCATTCCAAAACATGAGCTGAATGCCTTGGCCATGTCATCGAGCTCAGGAACACCAGCATTCTTTCTGTAGCTCCAGGACAGGCTCTCCCTGTTCTCCCATTTCCAGAGACCAGGGATGCATTCACTATTTCACTGGACAAGTTATTTTTGGAAAGCAAGACTTATTAAAGGTTCTTTCTGGTACCCTATCCCTACTCTTCACTGGTCCCGTACCCTTCAGCCGTGTCAGAAATGAGACCATGTCCTTGGGTCAGTTCTTTGCTGAGGTGAACAAACTCCATGTCTTAAAGTGTTGCCCAGACTTTTCCAAGTATCTCTCCATACCATCCTGATTTTGTACATATGTCACTAGTAATCTCTGCTGCTGGTAGAAGACAAGCCAGATTTCAAGTTTGTGCAAGTGTCAAAAGGCAATCTATCCTATATAATAAAGATGTAATATGCAAATGGTCATTACGTAACGACCGACCGCGTAATGACCGGATCACGGATCAGCAGGAGG